ACTTTGTGTGACTGCTGCAAATATATCTTCAAAACATAATGTAACATAGAGCTCAAGAGCTATATTTGGTCAGATGAAATTTAATGATGTATTTCTATGTCCATCTATGGATGCATATATTTTCCTTGGTTTGTTACAATACTCACCACTAAGGGCTTTACACTCAAGTGCAAATTACGATCTAGACTCAGCTAAGCAATATAGTATTTATTAGCCAGCTCAAGGTACTGTCAGTACAGCTCTTGCCTAGATCCCAGAACATCCTTATTGACCCTTGAGAACTCCTAATACCTTCCAAGACTTGAAAATAGCAAAACAGACATGTCTCACCCCAAATTTGAGTTGGTCAAAGATATGGAAGCATACATTGATCAGATGGAGGAGTAATTATTACAACTATCTATATCTAGCACAGAGCCAGTGAACAGACCAGTTGTAGGAATGCATTGAAACTAGCAAAACCAAATACTTTTGATGGAACCAAGAAGGCAATGATATTTGTATCTTGGATCTTTGAGATGGAACAATATCTTGCTTTTCAAACAAACCTGTAGTATTGAAAATCCAGTATGCAACCTCCTTTCTGTGAAAAGAATCAGCACTGTGGTGGAAACCCCATAACCAAGGAATTGGTTGTAGAATACACCCAATTATTGTCATCTGGGACATATTCACCATGGGCTTACAAAAACAACTTATACCCTTCCACTTTGTACAGAATGCCTGTGATAAGTTGCACATACTAAAGCACACAAAATCCACAACAGAGAACTACCAACAATTGAATCTGACAATGCTTAAGATTCCGGAAATGCCAGGTACTAAACAGAAAGAATACTACCTCCAAGGACTCTGGCCTCAAATGTGACAAGCAGTAAAATATCAGGACCCAAAACTCTCATCATTGCCATGACAATAGCAGAACAATATGACTCAATCTACTTTGAGCACTGCAATTACACTCCATGCCAGAAACCTTATACCCACCTCACCAAAAATATTAATAACCTCAGTAACTCATATGTAACTTTCAGAGTATCCAGTGTGGCCCCTATGAACCTTGATGTATCAACTTTGCAGTGTTGAAGCAATATTTCAAAAGAAGAATGCCCTCACAAAGGACTGTGATTTTATTGCAAAGAACATAGACATCTGATAGACAACTGTCAAAAGCACCTGCCAAACTAAAACCTGTTACCACAAATACAAATACTAAGACACAAACTACACACCCACTAACAATAGCAGACAATACCAGCCCATCTCTGACACCCAAATTGATGACATTAGATGAATTTATCTGCAGAAGCCTTGTGAGAGTATTGCTAGATAGTGGCACTGTAGATATATGCATAGCTGATGAATTGGTCACAAAATTCAACATTGAAAAGTACAGTACAAACCATTGAAAAATCAAAACAGCCAAAACTCTGTAACAACTGAACCACCAAACTGTCCCTCAAAAGCTATCATTGGATAGTCTTGTATCTGAGATATTGCCAACAACCATCCCACAGGCTAAGCTTGATATCAACCTGGGACAAAGTTGGCACTTAAAGTACAATGCAGAAATTGATTGGTGTAGCCAGGAAGTCATGATCTACTAAGACAACCAACCCATCACATTAAGACCATTAACAACCCTGTTGTCCCTGTTGGTAAACCCCAGATACCAACTATTAAAGAAGCAGATTACAAAGGCATGTGAACAAGCCAGTCCAAAGCCTAGACATGGAGTTGTACATGAACAAACACATAGAATGCAAAAAAATGTCACCAAAGGAAGTGATGGAGATTTTCAACAGCACAGATATCTTAAAGGATGTGATGGTGAGCATGCACTATGTGGGGAGGAGTATACTGGAAATGCCCATAGCTTAGGGCAGGCAAGGCAAATAATATGCTATGCACATTGCCCAAAGTAGGACTACAACAAGACAGATTCCAAATACATACCAGCCTACACCTTATATGGTGCTTTGTGTATAGCACACTGGAATATGCTAAATGGGTGGGACCAACAAGAATCTCTTAAGAGGCCAAGATGGACCAGATTATCTTGCAACCAACATGTATTGCAATGGGAGTGAGCAGATTGGCACCATCACAATTACTCTGAAAAATATGCAACTTGCCATCAATGAGCCTACTATTGGCCTGGAGAAGAGCCAAATTCATGAGTAGGTACCCTTACACACTCAGAGACCATTTGAGTCATTGGATAAACAGACATGCTAAAGGGCACATATTGGTCCACACCACACTGAGTGATCTTGCAAGATCACTAATATGGCAAAGCAAAGGCAGGAAGAAACTGGCAGCCTTAAAATTAAGATGTACAAGAGGCATGGAGCAAACTACCAATTGGCAAAGTAGCTAGGTTGGATGGGAAAACAATAGAAATACTACAATTTCTGGACTGGGACAAGAAACTCAGTAAGAAATTTGCCAAAACCATTTCAATACTAGTACAGAAAGCATTGGAATTAGGATATACACCCTCCAATTGTGGACCAGTATAATTTTTACCTCTATACAAGAGAAAAGGGGATAAAAAAAAATTTTAAACCACCATCTAATATTACTATTTAACATACTAAGAAAGCTATTTGAAAAAAGAGCTAAACTATGTACAGCAGACCAATCTTGATCAATTAGACATTATGCAAGGAGGATTCCAAAAAAGGCAGGGTACACTAGATTGATTAGTAAGCTTCCAGTATAGTTTGCAACATTTCAACATAAACAATGGAAATACACAAATAATACTACTGGACATTGTGGCAGCATTTGACCCCACAAACAGACAAATGTTATGGAAGATATGCCAAGGAAATGGACTTGCATTGTGCTGACCAGAGTAATGGCTAGCCTGTACAACCAATGTGATATCTGGATAATAGTAGACGGGAACTTAACTGAAGCAGTAGACAACCAGGTGGGTATACTGCAGGGATCACTACTGAGCCCCCTGCAATTTGGGAAATTTTGGATGCTTTACTGGAACACCTGAGGTGCTGAGAGGATGGCTTACAAATCCATCACAACCTACATATCAATGCTAAACTATATGTGGACAATGTGATATGTATAGTGCAATGGGATAAGGCACAAGACTTCCTACACAAATGTGAATTGCATTCAGCACAGAATGTATACAAAAGGAAGCCAGAAAAATGTTTTGTATACAACAGGAAGATATAGGAGGTGAGGGGCTCACAATCAATAATACCCCAATACCAGTGGACAATAAGGCAGTGTACTATGGGGCATTCATAGATAAGCAAGGATTGATTGTAAGCAACAGATAAAGCTCAGGGCTACCAAGGCAAATAATATATTACGCATACTATACAAAGTAAGATTATGCAAAGGAGGTTTCATGTTGCATATTTTGTGGACAGTTTTGAGTTAGGTGGCCAATTTTTTTGTATCTGTTGCAGATGGGAGGTGGATTTTTCCATCTGATGGTTATCATTATTTCCATAATGTGGGGGCATTGGGGTATGTTATGTAACATGTCAGTGCTTTGACTGATGTCCAGGATTGCCCTAGCAGTACCCATGGTGATTAGTGTATTGGGATAAACATGTTTTTTGATAGCACTGTAGTGGTATAGGGGTACTCCTGGGAGAAGCTACACAACTCAAGGTATATGAGGTGTCTGATGTGTGCATTAACCTCTGGGTTTAAACTGCTGCTGTCTTTGTAAATATGTCACTATGATAAATGCTCCTGCTTCACTAGCTTCCTAGTTGCTCCAAGTGTCTCCAAAGGCCTCTGTGTGTCTTGTGTACTCCCCTGAAAAGCTCCTTGATGACAAGTCCAGGATGTAACTGTACAAAGTAGGTGCAGTCATCACCTGCATATCAATAAGGGAGAAGTGTTACTGATAAAAGGGATGATTTACTGAGGAGAGGTTGACTTCCATTAAGTACTTCTCCTGATTGCCAAGTGACTACTAATGACAAGGTTCTAGAAGATTCCAGGCATCAGTGGAAATCTTGATGACATTGCTGAAAGCTAAAAATACTTTAAGAAGGTCCTAGAAGGCTCTAAAAGGCACAGCACATCCAACCAATTGGGGATCAGTAGTCTCAAACCTGTGTACCACAGAAATACCATATATGGGATTGTAATGGTAGGGATGGTAACAGAGAATTAGGCCATGTATCATGGGTACTGACCTAAGTACTTGCCTAATGTAGATACATATACCGATCACAAAACTGAATAACATTTGGGATAACTAATGTTAATAACTAATCAGGGTAAACATCATATGTGGACAATACTAATAATATGGGCAAAAGAAGAATGGGATAATACAGATAAGATAAAATATGGATAAATGCATCATAATTGCTGTATAGATAAGCTTATCTGTGGGAGTATGTTTACCCTACCACAGCATTAATTTCTCCATATGTGTGGAGGAAAGGTCTTAGGTGCTCAGTTGGTTGAGGTATGGACCAAAGTGAAAGATCTGATAAGTGCAAGATAAGCAGATGTTCATTTGTTTGGAATATTTGTTGGAAAGGAATAATAACATTGGTCCATTCAAAAGTGTTGTTAGAAAGATTTTCCATAATATCAGGATCAGAGAAGGCAATAAGGCAACAAAATAGGCTGTGGTTGAGCTTGATTCCAGTAATTTGGTTTGGGATAGTTGCTGACATCCAATTGATAATCTCATTAGGTGATAAGTGGCTTAGCAAAGTTGCATCAAGGCTTATGGAGTGTTCAGTGTTTGCTTATAAGATTGGTTCATAGCTAGCAATATCACTGGTCATTGTGGAACAAGGAAAAGGTGGCTTGTGATAATTGTGTGCAACAATTTGAGATCAGACTGGATTGGGGGGTAGAGGTGAAGCAATTTGTTCATTTGCTGAACTGGTGGTGGACATTTATGTACTCTCATAGAAAGGCCATTGCCCATACCACCAGGTATCATCAGACCCAGCCTTCAACTAAACCTATCATCCAAATAGCCAAAAAAACTCTCAGACTGGGAATTGAACTCAGATCTCCTGTGTGACAGGCAGGGATACTTACCACTATACTTTCTGAGAGGGGAATGACTGTTCACTCCTGTGCCTAGTCATTTAACTACATCTTTTATAGGCACTATCACACAGATTCAAGACAGGATGAAACTAGGGGGATGCCACCCACTAAATCAAAGACAGGAAGGTTTACAATCCAAAACAGAAGAGGTAACAGAACACATGCAATGCTCCAAATGGAATATGTTTGACTCCATAAGACTGAATGGAACAGAGGCTAGAATAAATCCAAAACATATATTTGACAATCCAAAAAAGACAGTAAAATTCAGATGCCAAGCATCAGTACCAGGAGCCAGAAACAAAAGGGAAATATGCAACTGTACATATAGCAAAAACACAATAATGCCAATCCTTAAAAAGTACAAAAAAAGAAAACATTGTTGGATATTAAAAATAAAAAACAAAGTAACAACTGGGATCAAGAGGAAGAGACAGTCCAGGAAACAGAAGGAACAGGGACCATTTCAGAAGAGACAGACCACAAGTATAGTGGACCAACACAGATACAAGGAAACAACAAGAATATAAACTATAGGGAACCGTGGGAGGCAAGAGGGAAGACAGAGGAAAGGGAGTTGATGGTAACTCTGACAAAACTAAGCTGGCAGGGAGAGAAGGAGGGAAACAGACTGATAGAAAATGGGGAAAAGGAGATAACCAACAGAGAGAGGATGGAAAAAGAGCAACCAGTACAACAGAAAAGTCCCATCTGGTACACAACCCTAGAATGGAATGTAGAAGGAGAAGGGGAAGAGCAAAGGAACGAGGTCACTACCAAGGAAGGAACAAGGATGTGGGAAAGAATCAGGGAGATAGAAAAGCAAATGGGCAAGTTAGCAAAGGAACTAGAGGAGATAAAGAAAGGGATCAGTGAAGGAAACCCTATGAAGGGCGAAAATGATATAAAGAGGGGACACAGGAAGGATACAGAGGAATTCTCAACAAGAGCTGGAGAAGTTGAGACCACATCAATATACGCCAAAACACTCAAAAAAACGTCATCAACAAATATAATAAGAAAGACACCAGCAACAAGCATCCACCAGAATGGAAATCTGGGCAATCAACAGAAACTACAAAACAGGCTGCGAGAGCTCAAGAAGACAAACAAAACCTCTCCAACTCAAAATCTAAACATGGAATTGTGCATGAACAAACATATAGAATGTAAAAAAAAATCGTTAAAGGAGGTAATGGAAATTTTCAACAGTACGGGTATCACTAAAGACATGATCGTGAACATGCACTACGTTGGAAGGAGTATACTGGAAATACTTATCCCCGTAGAACACATTCCGATAGTGGAAAAAACACTGGGGGAGGCGGATCTCAAGCTCAAGGACCCACCAAATCCTTGCATAACACAGGGAATGGGTGCAAGATTCCAACACATGAATTCAGAGGAAAAAAGAGAGTGTGCCAGGGAGCTGGCACGAAACAGAATCAAACGACAGATTTTCTAGGACAACGTAGCTGGTAGATGGTACTGGTGGTACGCAAAAACCTTAGGACTGGAAACGGGCAACCTTAAGAAATGCACAACAGAGAACCAAAGTAGACAACAAAACAAACAGGAGAATCGATTGAATCAAAGATTGTAAAATAGTTTTTGCCAATCTGAACGGGGCAAGAAATAAGATGAGTGAAATTAACAATTTTTTGGACGTCCACAATGTCGACCTAGTTATGGTAAATCAAACGTGGTTGGTTCATTGTCCTAGGAGCTATTTCCAGGACAGACTAATACTACACAAAACGGCAAAAACACCAAAAAAAGAAGGAGATGGGGGACGACCAAACGGCGGAATGATAATCCTCAGAAAGAGCATATTAAAACAACCAATCTGTCAAATGGAGTATGACCATCCGGATCGCGACGAAGTAATAGTGCAAGTGGGAGACACAACAATATCGTTTAATTACCTCAAACCCACAGATAACGAGGAATTACTGAAGGAACGATTCACACACAACGGAAATAACAAAAACCCGAATATATGGTTGGGTGATTTCAATGCAAGACTAGGAGAACTTGTCAACGATAGCAGAAGTAACAAAAAGGGGACGGCACTTAGAAAAATAATGACACAATACACACTTAATAGAATACCACCGTCAAACGACAAACCAACATACACCTCAAAAACAGGACAAAGCACAATCGATATTGTGCTAGCGAACAGAACGGCTTCAAATAGAATAATACAATGCATAGTACTAGAGAACACGGCGTTTGGTATCTCCGACCACGCACCAATCCTAGTACACTTTAAATACATTGGGGGAGAAGACGAGGGGACAAGCATAATCAGACCTAGATGGCGTCCATGGAAAATACCATTACCAAAAGCACCAAACAAAAAAAAACACAAAACCGCAAGAGAAGGGGCCCACAACAGACAAAGAGAGAGAGAAAACAGGGGCACTGCAATATCTAAAAGCGTACACTGATAAGGCGGAAGAAGGGATGGAAGACTGGGAACTAGGGAACAAGGCCACAACGGAGAAGGAGAGGCTAATGGAAAAATCAGTTGATATGCTGGTAACAGGATTGCAAAGAGCAACTGAAGTGTTCGGCACAACCAAACCAAGAAAAACAAACTGGAAATGGTTCTGATCCAAACAACTAGAACATCTAAAGAATAGAAGAAGGGCAGCATATCGGAAGTGGAAAAGATGCAAGGAGAAAGAAGGCAAGATCCACTTATGGGAAGAGTTTGACGTTATGCAAAAACAATTCAGGATGGAATTGAACAAAGAGCGGAAGGCACGTTTCAGAGACTTCAGCAACCAAATAGCAAAAGCAAACAACTCAGATATGAGCCGTTTACTAAAAAGACTAGCTAAACTGATCCGACCTCCAATATGACTGTACATGGGCGTATGGCCAAATGGATAAGGCGCCTGACTACGGATCAGGAGATTCCAGGTTCGATCCCTGGTATGCTCGTACAACAATTTTTTATGTTCCATGTTACTCGGAATACTAATACTCAAACTTACTTTTGTAAGTTTCATGGCATGATAAGCTCTAGACATGATGGCTGCAATCAGTGCATATCCTCTGCAATACAATAGTTTATTTGATTATTCACTCGATAGCATTGTGATGTCTACTAGCTGTTATGTTCTTTCATAAAAAGGCCATTGCCCACACCATCACGTATCATCAAACCCAACCTTCAATTAATCCCATCATCCAAATAGCCAAAAGAAAACTCTCAGACCGGGAATTGAACCCGGGTCTCCCGCGTGACAGGCGGGGATACTTACCACTATACTATCTGAGAAGATATCTATCAAGTGAAATATATAATTTATAACGCACACTATTTAATACTTGGTAAAGCATGTTAGGGAGGCTATCGGGCTGGCAAAAACAATTTGAACAATTAGCCTACCTATGAAAATACATTTTCCCCTCTCCCACCCATCTATGATGTGTGTCAATTTCCCCCAGCTGCACAGTGTATATCTTCTGACTCAGTAAAAACATACACACGATATTTACTACACAATAAAATGGGTATATTGCTGCAACGTTGTTGGCCCTTGATTGTACATTGATTAGATTGAATTCAATAAAAATCACAATTTCTACTTTGAGCACTGATTGACAAATAAGCGCTAAAATGGATTTACTCATGAATAAAGTACCATACAAGTGACCATCCGACTTCCATTCAACACCCTGCCCCCTACTCCAACTAAATACTGCACACAGAAAAAGGTAAAAATGCTCACAGCAGGGGTCGAACCTGCGACCTTGGCGTTATTAGCACCACGCTCTAACCAACTGAGCTATGCGAGCATATACGACAACAGCAGGATTTGAACCTGCGCGGGCAGAGCCCATATGATTTCTAGTCATACGCCTTAACCACTCGGCCATATTGTCTGATATATCAATCCTTCTCTCTTTAAATATATGACTAAACATTTAACATTATCTTGTTTAATAAAGTATGTTGAAGCTATTGTTTTCTAAAAATCGCAGAAAATTAGGTCTCGCCGAGAATCGAACTCGGATTACAGGATTCAAAGTCCTGGGTGCTAACCATTACACCACGAAACCAGCAACTACCTGTTATAAGCTAATCTATATTATAGTACTTACTCACTCGTAATCTTGCATTAAATATTTATTTCTGTAGCCCGCCAATGAAGAATACAATGAAGGGGCTGTGAACCAAAAAGGATTGGTAACAGTGAGATTCGAACTCACGCCTCTTACGAGACCGCAACTTGAGTGCGGCGCCTTAGACCAACTCGGCCATGTTACCGTATATTACATCCATCTCATATTTTTCTTACGACTAGAAAGGTTCGCAAACCTAGAGTGTTCATGTCACTCGATACTAATTTTTTTGTGATTAAAAGAACTTCCAAATTCGTCAATTTTCAGTGGTCGTTAATTATTGCCAAATAGCTTGTAACAAAAGGAAACACAAAGCTACCAACGATGCCAGATTGTGCTTGTATGAGAACACACGCTATCTAGTAATGCACTTTCAAAATGTGGTTCATTTGCACCTTGAATGCAAGTCTGTGGGCTGTACTGATCTGACAACCACTAAAATAAAATGCCATTGCTCGGAATCGAACCGAGGTCGACGCGGCCACAACGCGATGTACTGCCACTATACTACAATGGCGAATTCAGTATTTGACCCATTACCTGACTTCATGTTATGTTCACTGATCATACCTTGCGACTAGCTACCCATCTGCATTGGTAGGGTTCAATGTGAAGATGGGTACATGATACAGTGAGCATTCTGAATGGAGTAAAGTCTTGTGGGAATATAGAATTTTGCTTGCTTTCTAACAATAACTTCCTCATTGGTCCAGTGGTTAGGATTTCTCGCTTTCACCGAGACGGCCGGGGTTCGATTCCCCGATGGGGAAATACTTTTGTCCTATGTTTTTATTAGTGGTTGGGATGATATGCAGGAAAGCCGCAAGCTCAAGGGCCCCGTGTAGAGAATACCAAAATGATCAAG